TCTGTGGGTGCATAGGTAGCGATGACGAATAGACACCTGTTAGTCAGACGCGACTTGGAAGCTTTGAACGAGCCAGCCAATCGGACCGAACACAACCGGCTACTGATTGGAATCCAATCAACCAGAGTAGCTTCAGCCCGGGGACTCAGGGCAATACCGACACCGGCGCAATGAGAAAGTGCTGATGGTGTCATCTGAAGGGAATCGCAGTGAGCACAGAGCTCGAGTCTTGCAGGCGGGTCTCCGATAAGCAGCAGATACCGATCGAGAGGGTCTCTAATGTTCGGGCAAGTGCTACCTCTTGACCGATTTGTGGCAATGTGCGTACATTAAGCCATGCCAATCTGAAGGATGATCGAGGGCTCCAAATGAAAGCCGATGAACTGGGCCGGACCGCTTGGTTGAACATGAGCTTGTCGACAGGACAGGAATGACGCTCCTCGTTCACATGTGAGTTAAAACTAGAACGTAAAAGTCTAGCAAAGCAAGGTGAGGGAGGACTGAGAATTGGGGAGTTGAGAACATGGGGGATAAAAGTGAAGCTTGAACGGGACGGTAAGAGAGAAAAAGCGTAAGTGGAGGAATAAGAAGATGGGAAGGCTTGAACAGTAGCACCCAAACCCTTATCCACCCTGCTCGATGCAGCAGATAGGGCACGGTTGATTAGCTTCTGCGGTGGCCAGAGCATCAAGAAACTATTGGAATAAAAATTCAAAAAAGCTGGCAATGATGAATAAGGTTGATGAGCCGAACACTGACTGCAACCGCCTCAAGTATGACATGAAGAATGCCTTCAACGCCTCCTATACGATCAACCTGACACGTGGTATGGATCAGTTTGATCAAAGCACGAAAACAGGTTCCAATGAGTATTGATTTACAGCGTGTCCGATAAGTCCTGAAACGACGAGTGACAAGGAGTCTTCGAAGTTACTGAGAACGTTGGTGGGTGACAAGTGCTCGTGAGATGTAGAAAGCTAGTCTTTTGGAACAGCCGAGTGCTGTTCTACCACATCCGAATCACAGGTCCAAGAACGCACTCAGTTAGTGCGACCATAGGTTAAAAGGACAAACAGTTGATCCACCCTTAGCTGCGTCGACTAACCCGTGGGGAGGAACATTTTAAAGAGCAGGACAAGCGTGCTGCGACACTGCCGTTTTTTCAAATCTCCAGAGCAATTGTGGGAAATTAATGCCACATCTACTTTGGGATAGATTCGAGATAAGCTTCCGTGCTGATATGAATCAAGGCTCCCGGAAATGACGACTCTCGTTCATCTTTATTGAAAGAGAGAGATGTCACTTTTCTTACTGGACTCAATGTTTTAGTTAACACTGGTTGGTACACTGAAGAGGTGTCTTCAGACTGGCGACGGATAACAAAGTCTTGGAGGCATTAACCTTGTTTCCCTGGACATCAAACTTCACACAGGTATCAATATTTGAGAACTTAATGATCCGCGTGAGAGGCGAAACAGTGAAAGCCAGGATGGATTCAGCTATGGCCGTCAATTTTAAAAATAGCGATACACCCACAAACGACTGACCATGGTGGTTTTCTTTGAACAGAAAACAGCCTTCGAGCCAACTTGCGGGACTGTGTATCCGGGAAGGGAGTGCCCAGTAAAGTCCTTCCAATTTTGGGGACTCTACCGTGACTCCATGGGCCGGGTAAGGGTTTACTGAGAGCCGTCTCCTGAGCTCCCTACGATCAAAATAATCGTGAATGACTCTTTTCTTTCAGACTCCTACGGACCGGAAGTTTTGTCGGGCGACCAGTTGACAAAACATGAGTATGCAGACGAGATACCATCCCTTGGGTCTGACAAAGTGGCTGCGCAAGCATCATTACGCAGACTGATGCGTGTGCTTTGCACCTTCAAAGCACAGAGTATAACTGAGTGACAGAACTGATACGTCATCGGTTTTAGCTACCATTGAATAGCTACTGGAATTGGTGAACCGGTTAATTTATCTTGGTTGTTGAGTCGCGTCGGGTGATCACATCATTGAGGAAGTTGCTTCGCGTATCAGCAAAACCCGCGTAGCCTGCCAAAGACTCAATCATTTATGGAGACGGTTGGATATCAACTTGTCAGTGAAAGATCCAGGTTATAACGCTGCGAAAAAGCCCGTGTTACTGTGTAGATCAGAAACCTTACTAGTTCGTTGTGAAGACACTAAACGCGTGGTCCTGTTTCACCACCGGTGCTTACGAGTATTACCCAGGTTTAGTGGAAATACTGGAAAGCAGTGAGGAGTTGCAACAATTGGTTTTGAGCAGAAAGCCTGCTGATGCCTCATTGAAATGTGTTTGTTGAACTTGAACCGCTTAGGTTGGCTAAGTCATGTTCACCGTAAGCCAGTTAGACGGCTTCATTGGAATGCATTATGCACCATCACTGCACCAAGTTTGGCGAAACCGCGAGTGTTCAGTCGATGAGGTGGTATAAAGGCATGAAGAAACTGACTGAGAGACTTGTTCATGATAGTGCATATCGACTACAAGGATGGGGTATCGGGAAGGGCCATACTAGCGATTAGGCATTGTATCGAAAATGGCACTGCCTTGCAAACAGTGGCGTTGGTACACCAAGTTTCTTGCGCCTAGCTGTTCATTCAACGCACTTCTTTAGCCCATTTTCTTTGTATTCTATTTGTGTTTCAACTCATTTTTATGCCGCTGTTATTTACTTTTATTCTGGTGTAGTGATTCGCGGTAAGTGGATCCCTCGCACTTCAGTGTCCGGAGCAAAGTTGTTCAACTAAACTGAAGTGAAATGCAGATTTGGACTGACACATCACCAACTCTAGCCATCCCAGGGCAGACAATGAAAGTGATGGGTCCGATCAATTCCATTGGTAGTTGCCAGTCTGATACTCACAGCACTGAGGGTAATTTACGCATCGGAAAACCACTGTGTTGCTTTTCAGAGGCCAGTCTAATTAGTTTGTACTGACGTAGACTGCCTGTTCCCACGTCCACCTTAATTGCATAACAATGATGAACAATATATAAAGGCGCAAGGTTCGAGGTAGACAGGGGGCAAAGCTCGAGGTGGACAAAAGTTGACTTTGCAGTGGGAAATGAAGTCACTGACAACCAAACTGGGTGCCGTTGGTCCGTCTCGCCTTCCGAGTTGGAGTCCACGTGACTCACCTTGTGCTTGGCTCGAGACTTTACAGGACATGGCTCGCAACCGACACCAGTGGCGCGTCTGCTGCCGTCTTCTAATCGGATTGGCTGTTTAAAGTATGTTTGGTGCTGAGTTATCTGCTGGGTAATGGCTGATTATGACGCGTGGCAGTGAAAGCCGCAAGGAAGCTGTCTCGCCGATGCCGCCTTATCATTGCACGATAGCCAGCTGTTTGTGACGGTATGTTGTCTACACAAGGTGTAGGCGCCTTGACCCTGAATGTTTGCTTAGGGCATTAAGGTTTTCAGATAAGTCCCCCTTTCTCTCCCTCTTCTTATTCTTTATTTCATAGGCCCTCATAGTTGTATGGCAGCGAAGCATCAGTTCAAATGGCTGATGTACTGCTGCTGCTGCTGCTGCTGCTGCTGCTGCTGCTGCTGCTGCTGCTGCTGCTGCTGATGATGATGATGATGATGATGATGATGATGATGATGATGATGATGATGATGATGATGATGATGATGATGATGATGATGATGATGATGATGATGATATAAAGGCGGTGGGGTACGAGCCTGTCGGCAAACGTTAAAGTATATAACGCTGCAGAAAGTTCGATGTTAATGTATGGATAAGAAACGGTCACATGCAGAGAACATTTACAGGTTGGTTCCGCTTGAGAACGGGTGGTTATGGAGTAGTGTTCACAAATGGATAGATAACAGTGTAAGTAGCACTGAAGTCTGTCAGCTGAGGTATTGAAAGGAAACATCTACTTCGCACATAAATTACGTGCCAATCTTAAAGCTTCTATGTTGGAAGAACCATGTCCTCTGTACGTATATTGGTTGCCTACTCCATAGTACAAAGTGTTGCTACACACAGTTGATTGGGGATGTGAGAGATAAGTAGGTGAAGTTGAATAAGAGCATAAAGGAACTGAATACGATTTGGTCAGGTTGATACTTGCTGTTTGTGCAAATGGGGGCCTCGAGATGAGGCAGATAAGCGGTTCGAACTCAGTGGTGTCATTGCATTCGATTCCCCTTAACTACACCGTATCGTCTCCACCCCCCGAGTGACTTTACTCACTTTAGTTTACAACCCGCTTCGTGCAATCGCATTTCTCATGTCGTATTCAACTAATGTTATCCTGGTGGCGTAAGTCTTTGTGGCAACCGGACCAAACACACTACCGTACCCGGATTATAATTGCTCAACTGAAGTTAGCTGTGATACGGCCAGTATTTATCCAAAATGCACAGTGCTATCGAAGCCAAGTCGTTGATATAGGTACCGTACGCTGATATCCAGGGTGAAAATAGAATCTTGGGCTGAAAAACTATTTAGGTATACGGTTAAGATAATTCGTAAGTTCAGAGGTAGCTTCCAGAAAGAAATGCGAAAAAAGAGAAAAAGAAGACTAGAGGTAGAGTTTCTTGGGTCCAAAATACTCTCCGGTTGCGCATCTCAGGAGGGGTATATAGAGGGATTCAGTGGAGCATATATCCGCAAATGAACAATTAATTTGCACGTCTGTAAATAGTACAAGGGTTCAAATGATCAAGCAGTCGATGGTGAAATATCAAGGCACCGACGTCAATGAAAGATGAAAACACAAGTTGTGGGGAAAGAGAAACAGTGCATAAAATACTCGAAATACCACATGACCGGTGTGCACTCTCCAAGTCTAACAAGTAAGGAAGGACGAAAAGCGGTCAATAACGCGGAAACAAGACATCAATGCTGAGTCACAAAAAATAATAGTCAAGTATAATTCGGCGTTTAATTGGGCGGAAGATGTTATGCATTTGGTTGGAGAACTTCCACCGTTAATTAGGGCAATGTTACCAAAATGCATACCTGATTGTCATTCTTTTTGGGCTCCTCATTATTCTCAATATTCTGGCGGTTTGACTGCAAAACCGCGTAGTCCAGTAACGTTGTACGCTGACGACGAGAAGCTCTGTGATAAGTAGCGATGGGACACTAAAAAGAAGATAAAGGGACGAAAAATATACCTTTCTGACGGAGTTCGAAAGTTTGATGGATCCATCAATAAGTGTGTCCATTGCTGAAGCCGCCAAGCGGTTTGCTGGATCACCGGATGGCACATAAATTGAAGCCTCCAGTTCATCTTCAGCTAACAGTTGAGAGGCTAAAGCAAGAGATGCTTCCTCATTTTTCTTCTCTTCCATTTTGCGTAAACGAGAGTACTTTTCAACTTCCTTTAAATAATCGTCATGTAGCTCCCCTCCTGATACTAACTGACCATCGCGAGGGTTGCCTCCTGATAGTTAATAAAGAGACAGAACTTACCACCAGTGATGCGTTTGATAGAAGCAAGATCTGATTTAGAAAGCACGGGGGACTTTCCTAAATCCTTCTCTTTGTAGTAACTGGGAAATAGACTGCGGAGTTGGTGTTCCCGTTCATGGCTGATAACGGAGTCAATGTCTCTTATCTTGCGTAACCAATTCGATAATCTGAACCGGCACAGAGGGCATTGTGACGCAGTTAAATCGACAGCCGAAAGGATGCATTCCCGGCAAAACACATGACTGCATGGAAGCAATATAGGTTTGTAAAGCAACCCTAGACAGATGGGACAAGTCACGCTACTTTCCATTGCCATGAAAACGCACAAATACGTCCCTGTGGAGCAAAAGGATGAAAATGGGGTGAATAACGCATCAACGGATGAGAATGTGTGAAGCTTATCGCTGAGAGTAGGTCTTTACTAACAGCCGGTATTATAGCAGTTAGGCGACAAAGATCACTGAGCAAAAGCCAGAGTAGTAGAAAACAGTTTACGCAATCAGCAAAAGTGCGGCGACATACAGTTGCAAACAGCCGAATGCACTGCTGAGCATTACTTCGGCTAAGCCAATAAGTCTAACCGTGCCTCTGATTCAATTTGATAGTGCAAGGGGGGAATTCATATGACGAAAGACAAGAAAGTTTGCAGAAAATAAACAGAATAATGAAGGCCCCCGACTAGCCAAAACTGCAGACGAGTTTCGGATAAACAATACATATCGATCGATACAGCCTCCAATGCTCGGATAACTGCTTCCTTTTGAATGATTTATAACAAAGTGCGCATGCTGAAGCATACCAGCGTCAGCGAAGACCAAGGGCTCCGAACAGAGGCACATGAACGGTAGTTTTCGATAGGACGGCAGTGACGGTGCGCGATTGTGTAGGTCAAAAGTAAAAGACAAATGTCTATCAAAGAAAGAGGAAGACCAGGAAGTAGTGGGTTGAAAACAGTGGGTAAAAGTAAAGTTCGAATGGAGTGATAAGAATGAAGAGACGTAAGAGGAGAATAAGGAGACGAGAAGGCCTGAGCAGAAGTATTCTCACCCCCATGCACTCGCTCGATGTAGTAAATAGGATACCGTTGATTATCCTCTGCGGCGAACAGAGCATCAAGAAATTGTACGAATAGAAGGGCCTTGTATTGTGTGGACAGGATGTTGTCAGGCTGTTAGATCTAGACAGCAGAACGATTAGGGATTTCAACTATTATTTGGTTTAAAAATCTGACCGCAAAGCAGCAAGAGTTTGGCAGTGGGCTACGGAGAGTGCGTTTTAAGGAAAAAGGAGCCATCCATACTCCAATCACTGTAGTATAATTGAGCAGTCAAAGAGAGACCAGAGTGAGGAATCAAGACTTGGGAAATCTGGCTCTATTCATCTGAATAGAAACGAGAGCTAAAAGTTTAACGGACAGAAGTGTAGTGGCAATGACAAATATGCAAAGATAAACAATATCACATTCTCCACTCCATTGATGTTTGGAAGGAATCGTGTACTAAACAAAAGTTGCCATGTGGCGGAAGCAGTGTATGGAAACAGCGTTATTAAAGATTTGTAACTTGTGGGTAGCAAGGTTTCACAGGAGAAGAGAGTTAGTATTTAAGCCTCTCTGTTTCTAAGATAATATGGACACACCATGTTAAGTGTCTAAAGTTCGCTCCTTAGGGACAAAATTTCCGTAAAATTTGGTTGAGAATGATCCGCATGCATGTCGGCTTCGTCAGGTACGCAGACTTGGTCCTCCTCTACGGGTATGATTGTTTCTTCTGAATCTTATCATGCTCGAACAATTGATCGCCCATGAGTGTCAGTTGTCGGATGGATAACGTCTCCTATCTCCCATTCGAAAATCGAGCGTGTGCGTATTGATGGTTACATTCGATAAGTTCCACCTGTCTACAAGAGGATCGAACTTGGAGGACCGGACGTTCTTCTTCAAGAGGACCGGATCGGTGAAGATAGCCAGGTAGGAATAGAAAAGCCAGATGAAGACCTCTGATTATGTATGAAAAACCTCTTGCGTGGAGTCACGTTTGTTGCTGTGCATAGAAGCGATCGAATCGAATGCAGTGCGTCGAGTAGGACGATCTTCCATTGATCAACTGGGATATTACGGGAACGTAGGCGAGAGAAACGGCTCTCCACAATGTTCTATACTGGCGTTCGACTTGCCCATTAGCTTGTGGATGTTATGCGGTTGTTCGATTTGTAGCTACTCCTTTGTTTTGAAAGTCGCGTAGCTGGTGGGACATAAAAGAGGAACCTCGATCTGAATGAGTGTAGGCTGGCATACCAAACATCGAAAAGAGCTGACAGAGGCAGTTTATCACAGTGGAAGAGGTCAAATCGTTGAATGTAAAAGCGTATGAAAAATATGAAATTCGTCGACAACAGTTAACAGATAGCGATTTCGATATTTCGTGGAAAGGATGCCTTTAAAATCAACATTGAGGCGTTCCAAAGGCTGAGTTGCTTTAACCAGGCGTTCCAAATGGGGTTGAAGAAACCTCAATTTTAAGCTACAACAAAAGGCACAGCTCAAAGTCATGAATTTGATTTCAGCCACGGAATATGGTAGGTTTAGGGCGCGGACGAAATGAATCATGCGAGTTATGCACGGATGACACAAAGAATCATGGAGTTGTTTTAGGTTCGGACTGCCAGATGAGTTGCTGCAGCAGGTACGCGAGTGTGTCGGCTCCATGATTGCCCTTAACGGGTCGGTATATAACATCGTAGTGAAATGGCGCAAATTCAAGCCTCCAGTGCTGCATTTTGTTGTCTTTAATTTTCTTCTGGTTTAGACTGTTGTACATGAAAGACACAGAACGTTGATCTGTGGCTAGCTTGAAGTTATTACCAAGTAGTAGGTGACGCTATTTTGGCACTGCCTCAAGGGTCGCGTAGGCTTCTTTTTCCACCGAGGAATGGCGCTTCTCGAAGGAAGATAACGTACAAGAAAAAACTATCGGCCTTTGTAGCTGAGATAGCTACATCAGAAGCATCCGTTTCAACTATTAGCGGTGCATGAGGATCGGCAGTGGTAAGTACGGCGTTCTTCAGTGCCTCTTTCAAATCCTCAAAGGACTTTTGGACGGATGGTAGTATGGGAAATTGTGTGTTGTGAGCGAATGGGCCAATTTTACCAGAGAAGTGTGGTATCCACTGGGAGTAGCAAGTGAACATTTGTCAGTCTCTGTTGAGCCTTGATATCGGTGGGAGGAGGCAATTATTGCAGTCAGACAGATCAGAGTGAGGAATTAGGCTTTATTCGTCAGCGAATAGAGACGAGCTAAAAGTGTAAAGGATAGAAGAAGTGTAGTGGCAATGACATGCAAAGATGAATAATATCACAACCCCAAACTTGGAGAGTGAGTCTGCCTGGGCTTTAACCAATGACCAGCCTGGCATAGGTGGATCTAAAGGTGCAAAAGCACTGACTTGCACAGTGTAATGGATTGTTGGAGAAGCAAACCACCGCACCACGTTAAAGTCCAGTCTCAATGCGAAATGACACGCAACCGGATTTCCAACTGACAAGTACCAAATCAATTTTTCATGTGTAATTGTTCTGAGACCAACCGATTTCACTCCACCAGGTGTAGCGACGGCGAATAATCCATACCGAACCCGTTGGTTGACAGACACGCAAAACACATGTGTCAGTAGAGGTGGACGGTTCAACTTCAATGAGACAGTACAGAATATTTTCGAAGTGATCATCATAATCAATACACATTAGTTGGGGATGCAAAACACACTCCAGCTTTGTGCCGCAATACAAAAAGATATGATACTAACATTACAGAATGCATAAACTAAAAAAGAAGTAATACAATGCTAGGTATCGTAAATCAGTCGATCCAAGTCAAAGTACGCTTTATGCACTCGGGTAGGTGAATTTTCAGCATGTTACATCATCAGCATATGAAATCACTGTTAAAGAAAACATGTCCAACAATGTTTACACATGTCATTTGAGCAAATAACTTCGCGTCACACTGGTAGTTTTAGCTGGATCAACAAGCAAGTGAGACAAGTACGGTAGAAAAGAATTGCGGTACGAGAAAATAGGAACATAGATCTGGAATTGGTGGAGGAAAGAAAATAATAATTTTGATAGGTTAAAATATAGTGGATGACGAGGGTTGTTTAGAACATTGAAAAATTGGTATAAGCGTCTACGTGCTTGCTAACTAGAAAATCCACAAAGGACTCTAAACAATCCACTACATCTGGAAATATGCTTCATGAGTAACAGAGGGAAGACTACAGGGGAACAGTAGAGCAAATGCCGCAGAATGAATGTAGTCACAAATCTAAGAATCAAATACGGGGTACTGAAAGGACTTTAAGCTGAAGAGCGTAAAATGACAACCGTCTAACTTTGTAAAATGTTTCGGCAACGTGAAGACACAAAGTTTCGGGATAAAAAGACCCCCAAGTATTTAATACTTGATGATCTGGGCATGAACTAATCACTTAGTGTCAATGGAGAATGGGTGTCCAAAACAACTCATAACGTGTCAGCTCGAAGGAACAAGGATGTTACGTCAAATCTAGGAGTGCTCGAAATCAGGGATCAGGATGATGACCAAAGCACAAGCTCATCTAAACTATTTTGAAAAGTAGATGTCCCAAAGGTTGGAGTAATGCATCCCAAAAGGACATCACCAGTATACTTCCACCTAATAAAGGTATATGGTATGGTTTTTCAATGTATAAAGAAAACAGACGGTGAGAGGATGGTTCCGTGTATGTATGTATGTATTCTCAACAGTCTATTAGGTAGACAAAGAGCCAACCTAAAAACCATAATGATAAGGAGATAAGCAAGATTTATGGCGTCATAATCATCGTGGCATGCTAGTTGAAGGTGAGCAACACACTTCAACTAATATGCCGCAGGAAGAATGGAACATTTTGATAAAAAGCAGAACAAAACATTTTTAGTTTGTTTTTCACACGCCGCTTTTGCTCTTTTTTTGTCATTTTAATGTTTGTAGAATTAAACATGTGAATCAATACAATAATGTACACAATTCTTCCATTGATTCCGGTTGCGGACCATATCTTCAAGAGTGCTAAGCCATTGGCACTCCTCATCTATCGGTCCCCATCCTAGAAGACGTACAGATCCAACAGCGGCTAGACACGACGTCAGCGATTTTATGTGCTGCCGCCAAGTGGAGGGCTGACCACACGCGGTCGCCTCCAGCCAGGTCCTTGACGAGGGAATAGTGCGCGTCGCGGTAGACGCTCAGGTGCCATGCGTAGGACGTGACCGAGCCATCTTAACTGGCGCAACAAAATCAGTTTGTTGAAGGGAATACT